GCAGCTCCGCCAGCGAAAAGCCGGCCGGCCGGGGTGGGGACGGGAAGGGAGGGGAGGGTTTCTCACGAGTCTGCGGCGTCCGCGTTCGCCTGTGAGGCCGCGGACACTGGAGGGCAGCTGGGATCGCCGGGGCCGGAGGCCTGACCTCTGCGCGCGCCGTGGCCGCTCGGCGGGAGGTCCTGTCCGCCCCACTCAGCAGACGGACACCTGCCGCGCGGCGGGTCTGCTTATTCAGTGTCTCCTGTGTTCTCCGCTCGCTGGAGGCCAGAGTTTTCCCCAGAAACATTGGCATTGCTTCCGGGCGTCTAAACGGAGCCCCACAGGTGCTTAGAATTCCTCGAGCCCCTCGCTGAAATGAGCACCTGTTTAACTTCACCTGTGTGGCTCCCCGCAGGAGGCCGCATTCAGAGAGTAACGTTTGCGGAGCTCTGCTTTGCGCCGACTTTGGTTCCTGATCTTGGGCAAGTTAATTAAGCCCTACCCTGTAAAATTCGTCTAACACTGCCTCACGGGGTGACGGGAGGGATTAGATGGTTTAATACGTATTGATGGGTTTACCCCCGTGCCCAGCAAATACCAGGTACTCAGAAAACACTAGTGACTATTAGTTTATATTGTTAATAACCGTAGCTATTATGGTAGGTATAGCAAGTGCCAAAGAGAAGGGTAGGCAGACCGAAAGCAGAAATAGTTGTTGAGAAGGGAGAGTGGAGGAAAGCGTCCCAGAGGTGGAAGTGTTCAGCTGAGCCTTGAAAGAGGAGTCTGATGTCACTAAGCAGAGACGTGGAGGTGGAGGAGGTCCTCCGGGCAGACTGCAGTGCAAGCAGAATCGCAGAAGCCTGGAAGTGTTGTCTGGTTCTGGCCAGATGGAGGTAGAAGGAGAGGAGGCTGGAAAACGTTAATGATATATCAAGGGCTTTATACCGTTAGGTAGGCAGCATTAGTCTGGTTGATCTAGGATGGAGTGGTCTTTTGTGTGTGGTGGTGTCGTTTTGGCAAAGCTTTGTCATCGCATTTCTGTAGTTTTGGGTACTATATGAAGCCTTCAGCAGTCATTTGCCCTGTCTCATTACATTCAGCCTTCCTAAAAACCAGCTTTCTCATATAAGGTCGGTACCTGTGTAGTTTGCTAAGGTAGTGGAGGGCTAAAATTGGCCTTTCCAATATTTGTGTGAATATTTTGTTACAATCGAAAAGGGAGAAAATAGATAATAAACTATGTAGGTGGTCACCTCTTACAAAATAGTCAACATTTTAATTATCTTTATATCTGATGACTTAGAATCTAAGTTGTAGATGGTAACTAGAAGCAACTTTTGAAATGACTTTACATTCCTGATAACTGAATGGTGCTTTGGAAAATTTGGTTGAGTTTCAACTCTTCCTTTGTGGATTTCACACACATTGACTAAGCCCATTCTGCTGGTATTGTGCTGATACACAGATGGGGACACAAAGATGAGAAAACACAACCTCGTTCATCTTGGGGACTCAGGCACCAAGATGGAGACTGGAGCCCAGAAGCCACATGGCCAGGCAGACCAGGCACAGAGGCACAGAGGCACGGGAGCACAACGTGTGGGGAACTGCTCAGAGCTCAGAAATCACTGCCTTTTCACTCAAGGTTGATTTCTGTACTCTCTTTAACTGACCTTTCTTCCATCCCCAGGTTACCAGGTGACAGGGGTGTTTATGAAGAACTGGGACTCGCTGGACGAACATGGGGTCTGTGCTGCTGACAAAGACTGTGAAGATGCTTACAGAGTCTGCCAGATCTTAGACATCCCTTTCCATCAGGTGTCCTACGTGAAGGAGTATTGGAACGATGTGTTCAGGTGAGTGCAGGTTGCAGCTCAAAGGAGGCTTCCTCACGCTGTGGATCCTTCGAGTGGAAGGATGGCGGTCTTCAGCCTGACAGACTCCTGTGCAGCCCAGCGCGCTCCCTCCATGGTGGTGCTGAAGCTGCAGGAGGCCTCGGCTGCCCTTGGGGCCTCTGTTGGAGGCAAGGCCTGGACCCCACAGCACTCCCAGCTCTCTCACACCTGTCATTTTTGCCACTTGCCTGAAGTCTGTTTAATGCTTTCTTGGACCTTGAGTTGTTTCTGTTGCCCTGTTAGGGAAGGGGAGCTAAGGCTGAGGGCTCCCCTGGAAGATGAGCGTCAATGCCTGTGAGCTGTGTGGGTCATCGATGAAGGGGATTCTGAGAGAACAAGTTAGGTGATATGTGGCCTGGCGTGGCCCCGTGCCTGTGCAAACAAGAAACAAACAGAAACTTACAAAATCTAATACAGCCCCAATCATTAAGTGCTTACTGCGTGCTGGGAACATTAAGATGTCTACGCTGTGACCTTGTTCTGTAGGAGTCTGCGGTCTAATTGGGAGCACATTATCCATCTTCACAAGAGATGACAGTGATGCGTGGCATGTAGGAAGTGCCAGTGATTCTATCAAGAATCACTGAACCCGGGAGGAGGGAGAAATTTGCAGTGTGGAGTAATCAAGAAGGCTTCACGAAAGAGGAGGGCTTGCCAGCAGAGGAGTAGAGAAGACACTCCAGATGGGATAGCGAGGGCAGCAGTGAAGCGGTGAAGAAATGCCTGTGGTTTATTGCAGGACCGCTGTGTGGTTTGCCTGGACTTCCGCTCCTGCAGTGGAAGGAGCGTGGGGCTCGTCCTCTGGTGAGCCCTGACTGTGCTGACTGTCGGGCACTTGTCGGGCACCTGACACACAGGCCGTGGGCACAGACAGGCTACCCTGCCTGAGTGGGCTGTAGGAGCAGAAAAACCTTGTGTTGAGTCCTGACTGTGTCACTTATTATATGACCTTGGGCAATTTACTTGACTTTGTTATTTTAATTGGGAAAAAAATATATATATATATTTCCTGACAGCAAAGAACCAGAAGTTACTTGACTTTTTTTTTTTTTTTTTTTTTGGGGGGGGGGGGGTTTCGCTCTTGTTACCCAGGCTGGAGTGCAATGGCACGATCTCGGCTCACCGCAACCTCCGCCTCCTGGGTTCAGGCAATTCTCCTGCCTCAGCCTCCTGAGTAGCTGGGATTACAGGCACGCGCCACCATGCCCAGCTAATTTTTTGTATTTTTAGTAGAGACGGGGTTTCACCATGTTGACCAGGATGGTCTCGATCTCTTGACCTCGTGATCCACCCGCCTCGGCCTCCCAAAGTGCTGGGATTACAGGCTTGAGCCACCGCACCCGGCGTTACTTGACTTTTTTAATCCTCAGTTTTCTCATCTTTAAAATGGTGATAACACTGATGCCTCACAGGGTTATGTAAGAATTAAGTAAGATTAGGTTCTAGTTTTTATGTCTGGTATATTAGTAAGCATTCAATAAACATAGCTGTTTTTCTTTTCTTTCTTTCTTCTTTTTTTTTTTTGAGGTGGAGTCTTGCTCTGTCACCCAGGCTGGAGTGCAGTGGTGCGATCTTGGCTCACTGCAACCTCTGTCTCCCAGGTTGTGATTCTCCTGCCTCAGCTTCCCAAGTAAAGCAGCTGGGATTACAGGCACGCGCCAGCATGCCTGGCTAATTTTTGTATTTTTAGGAGAGACAGGCTTTCGCTATGTTGGCCAGGCTAGTCTTGAACTCCTGACCTCAGAAGATCCACTGGTCTTGGCCTTCAAAAGTGCTGGTATTACAGGTATGAGCCACTGCACCTGCCTGCTGTTTTTATATTCATTATTAGAAAGATGAGTCTTAGAGCTGAGCTATGAGGACGCAAAGGCATAAAATGATACAGTGGACTCTGGGGTGAGGTACAAAAGACTACATACACACTGGCTACAGTGTACACTGCTTGCGAGATGGGTGCACCACAGTCTCAGAAACCACCCCTAAAGAACTTACCCATGGAAACAGACACTGTCTGTTCCCCCAGAACTGCTGAAATAAGAAAAAGGAATTTAGAGAGATTGGACCTGGGTCTGGGGGTGGCCCTAGAATCTGCTTTAACAAGCACTTCAGCTGTGCTGGTGTAGAGGGTTGTCAGGGTCTTTGAGAAAAGGTGTGATGGGGCTTATGACGTGTGTGTGGGAGACCAGAGAGGAGAGGAGGCAGCAGTAGTTTCAAGATCATGCCTTCGTGGCTGGGGAAAGCCGGTTTAGGGGACTCCTCATGAGTACTGTAGAGTTTGAGGTGACAGCAGGGAATCCAAGGGAGCTGACACTTCACCTGCTGGCGCAGCATTTTCAAAGTGTACAAGGGGAGGTGGTTTTTGAAGTTTAGCTCGGCTCTGAGGCCGGATAGGAAAAGTGACTTGTCTTGAATACTATGGCAAGTTAGGAGCGGAGCTGGGATTAAAACCCGGCTCTTGGCCGGGTGCCATGGCTCACGCCTGTAGTTCCAGCACTTTGGGAGGTGAAGACAGGTGTATCCTAAGGTCAGGAGTTCGAGACCAGCCTGACCAACATGGTGAAACCCTGTCTCTCCTAAAAATACAGAAATTAGCCAGGCATGATGACAAGTGCCTGTAGTCCCAGCCACTTGGGAGGCTGAGGCAGGAGATTGCTTGAACCCGGGAGGTGGAGGCTGCAGTGAGCTGAGATCGTGCCACTGCACTCCAGCCTGGCAACAACAGAGTGAGACCCTGTCTCAAAAAAAACCCAAAAACCCTGGCTTTCCAGGCCGGTGCTTGCTGCTGCTTTCAGGCGCTTCTTGATAGGGACTGAAAGGAGGAGGCGGCCGGGTAGAGTCTTTTTCCCATCTCTGGGGCTGCCCTTGAGCTCGCCCCGGGCTTCAGCCAGCCTGCACTCCATCCTCACCCAGTCCCCGCTTCCTGTGGAGGCATTGGTCTTTCTGCTGAACACTCACTTCTCTAGGAGGGCTCTCTAGCTCAGAAATTTCTTTTTTTTTTTTTTTTTTTTTGAGACGGAGTTTCGCTCTTGTTACCCAGGCTGGAGTGCAATGGCGCAATCTCGGCTTACCGTAACCTCCGCCTCCCGGGTTCAGGCAATTCTCCTGCCTCAGCCTCCTGAGTCGCTGGGATTACAGGCACGCGCCACCATGCCCAGCTAATGTTTTGTATTTTTAGTAGAGACGGGGTTTCACCATGTTGACCAGGATGGTCTCGATCTCTTGACCTCGTGATCCACCCGCCTCGGCCTCCCACAGTGCTGGGATTACAGGCTTGAGCCACCGTGCCCGGCAGAAATTTCTTTTGAATTCTTTCACTCAAGACCCACTGGTTTTCAAGGGTCAGATCCAGATGTGTTTTAACTGCTGAGTCTTTTCAGCTGCTCTCTCCCTGATGAAGCACAGGAAAGGCTTCTTTCCAGTGAAAGAAGAGGCTGGGCTACTCCATTGTTTTTGCTAATGCCAACTGACACACCTTCCTGTCTGTTGTTTAGGAAAGGGTTAACAGTATGTCTTTTCAAAAACTGATGTAAATGTTCAACCTCTTCAACATCTATTGATGACTGTTATGTAGAAAGGGCACACAGAGACACAGATTGCATCGTAAGTAGTTTATAGTTTAATGAGCTTCCCGATAACTTTCTAATAATTAAAATAAAATGGAACGTGTCCTCATATCAGGTGTTGCAAATATAGAACAAGAAGAGTTTTTATGAACTTCTAGGGGGAGCAAGAAGTAGGTAAATACTTTGGTGCCTGCTAAAGTTGAAGATACACAAGTGACATCTGAGTCTGTGCAGATCCACGATCTGTCTGCGTGACAACCTTGATCAGCATTGGTTTTGTTAACCCTTGTTGATTAATAGAGTGTTTTAAGTTAAATGAAAAAAAAAATGACTTATATCAAAATACACCAATTTTTAAACTCCCAAAATAGGCGTCATAACCCTCTTGAAGTGAATCCTCTGAGACTGAAATTCTTGCCAAGTCTTGATGGTATCGTGGCACCTTTTTCCCATCCAGTTAGTCTGGTAGAGCAGAGATTCACAGAATAAGGATGGCGTCTTTTTCCCATCCAGTTAGTCTGGTAGAGCAGAGATTCACAGAATAAGGATGGCGTGATCCACTTTGAGCACCCAGGAGGTTGCTCATTCTGAGAAGTGTGTATTCATCACATGAGGAAAGTGTCTTTGGTATATTTGCCCAGTGACCCAGCTTCCCAGGCTGAGGGTGCAGAATGGCTCGTGGAGCCCTTGTGTAGGGAAACTGGCTGTTTCTCCTCTGCTCCCACACCACAGCAGTCATCCTCACAGAGGAAGGCTTCTGTGACCAAAGGTGTGGGGGTTTTCCCCCATACACCAAGCAGTGGACACCAACTGGGTGTCCTCCAATTCAGCTCTGACACCATCTACCTGGGGGTAGTGCCAGATCCCAAAGATTGGGGGTTCAGTCCCCAAGACTGACCCCCCCAACAACAGTCGAAAGTATGAGCCTCTAGGACTTATGACCAACTGGCTTCAAGTTGGGATTCCCATGACTTCCTCTTCGGGTTCGATTATTAAACAGTTCCTGGAGTGGTTCACAGAACTCAGAAAAACACTTACTTACATTTTATTATAAAGGATATTGCAAAGGATACAGATGAAGAGGTGGGTCGGGTGAGGTATGGGGGAAGGGTCATGGAGCTTCCACACCCTCCCTGGGGACCGCCCTCTAGGAACCTCCACAGTGTAGCTGTCCGGAAGCTCTGAACCCCGTACTCTTGGGTTTTTATGGAGGCTTCATGACATTGCCATTCCTTCCCCCAGGATATAGAGCGGGACTGTCTCTGGGGAGGGTGTTAAGACCCACAGTCAGAAAGGCAGATGCTTGTAATCCCAGCACTTTAGGAGGCTGAGGCAGGAGAATTGCTTGAGGCCTGGAGTTCAAGACCAGCCTGGGCAACATGGCAAGACCTCATCTCTATAGAAAAAGATGCAGTGGGCCCGGTAAGGTGGCTCATGCCTGTAATTCCAGCACTTTGGGAGGCCAGGAGTTCAGGACCAGCCTGGCCAACATGGTAAAATTAGCCAGGCATGGTGGTGCACACCTGTAATTCCAGCTACTCAGGAGGCTGAGGTGGGAGAATTACTTGAACCCAGGAGGCAGAGGTTGCAGTGAGTGAGCCAAGATCACACTACTGCACTCCATCCTGGACGTGACAAGAGTTAGACTTTGTCTCCAAAAAAAAAAAAAAAAAAAAAAAAAAAATGCGTTGAAAGGAGTGTAGGCCAGAGGCCCACCCCTAAGGCCCACCACACTCAGCATGACAGCAGAAGACTAACGGGCTGTGGGAGGGACGAGCCAGGAGCTGTGGATGAAAGCCAGTGCATAACATAGCCCCACAGCCCTGCAGTGCAAGTCTAGGGGATTTCATTTCTGCTGTCACTCGGGCATCGTCTCTTCCTTACCCAAGCCCTGCTGTGTTGGAGGAGTCCCAGAGGCGGGGATTTAGTGAGACCCTCACGACCACCCCCACTCCTGACCCCACGCGCCCTGCGAGCCTACCCGGAGAGGGTGGTCCCGAGCCGTGGTGGCGGAGAGTAACACCTTGCTGTTTGTCAGGTGGCTCATGCAGCAGGCTGTAAACAAATGTTTGATGACAGTGGCTTTGTGTTGAAGCTCTTCTGTTTTGCAGAAAATTATAGTTTTGGTATAACAAGGAGAAATTCTACATTAACAAGCAATTTAGTGAACGTAATTTTTTTTTTTTTTTTTTTTTTTGAGAAATGTTTCACACTTGGAACTGAAGTCAATTTCTTTTATTCTAGTGATTTTTTGAATGAGTATGAAAAAGGAAGGACTCCCAATCCTGACATAGTTTGCAACAAGTACATCAAATTCAGTTGCTTTTTTCATTATGCTGTGGATAATCTTGGTAAGTAATTCGGGTTTAAAAAATTTTTTTTTAGAGACAGGGTCTCGCTCTGTCAGCCAGGCTGGATTGCAGTGATGCGATCATGACTCACTGCAGCCTCGACCTCCTGGGCTCAAAAGATTCTCCCACCCCAGGCTCCTGAGCAGCTTGGACCACAGGCATGCCACCAGTGGCTAATTTTTTGTGGAGATGATATGTCTCAACTCTGTTGCCCAGGCTGGTCTCAGACTCCTGGCCTCAAGCAGTCCTCCTGCCTCGGCCTCCCAGAGTGCTGGGATTCCAGGCATGAGCCCCTGCGCCTAGCCTGTTTCTTCTTGTTGGATTTCCTGATGCTGAATTGCTTGCTTCGACCACCTGTTGCTGTCTGTGGCTATGCTTTGTGAATTCTAGGTTCTTTGTCTCCTGTCCCCTGCCACTGGGGTCACCATACGAGTTTCTGAAGTTGTGGCTCTGGCCTCTGGGTTTGCTGTGTCCCACTGCAGCTCACCCTGTTGTGTGGGCCACGAGACACCATTGTAAGCCAGGGACCCGGTAGTGTCAGCACTTTCAGCAGTGATGTAGATGAGACTTGCAGATCTGATGCGTGAGTAACCTAAAGTGAGAGGATGATGATGAAAGTTAGTTTGTGGAGTCAGGAGTAAACAAATGCCTACAAAACAGAAGGTCTACATTTCAACACTGAACACCGAAACCAGGAAACGTCATAGAGACAAATGCAGAGTTTGCACCCAGGTTCAATAATTAATTCTCCTAGTACAAGACTGGAAAGACCCAGCTTGGTTGCCATTGAATATGCAGAAAATCGCGGGGTTTAGGTGCCCCCACGCTGACTGAGCCAGGAGTGTGATGTCTTTTTGTGAAAGCCAGCCGACTGAGCTCACCTTGATGATCAGAGAATGTCTGGGAAGGGGTGGTGTATCCACTGTGGTCCGTCCTGGTTAGGCCATGTCAGTTCTTCAGGAAAAGAGTGACAGACTGACAGAATGTGAATTGATTTTTATTTTCAGGGTGTCCAGAAATATGTCCTCCATGAACTGTTGAGATTATTTGGGGTCCTAGTGGCAGGGGTCAAGGGTGTGAGTTAGGAATGCATTCTTTGTGTGACACCGGAGGACAGAGTTAGGACTGGCAGAAGAAAAAGTTCCCTGGGGTGGAGGCACAGGCAGCTGTTGAGGAAGGGAAGGCTTGCCTTTGGAGAGTGCTAAGCTCTCTGTCACCAAAGATTCTGAGGGAGCCCCTAGGTGGCTGGCCGTCGGGCACTCTGTGGAAGGAACTTCTGCAGTGCCTGTGTCTGCATCTGGAGGAAAGGCGTGAGCAGCGCACACAGGACAAGAGACTCCTGACCCCACCGTGCTGCTCAGAGGCGTCCCACGCTTTTTCTAGTAGAAGTGTTGTTCTTTAAGGACATAGATTTAAAGTGGAATTTTTTCTCTCTGAGAAACTCAGTCAAGATGAGATCATGTTTCTAAAGTGCCTTTTTCAGATCGTTAATATGCAGCAGTTAATTCTTGCTGTGTCTTCTGTTTACACTGAGCTAGTGTGGTTGGTTAAGGATGGAATCCATTTTGCTGCACCTTTCATATTAGTCTCTTGAAATACTAGATATCTGTAATTGTTTTTTTTATTTTTTTTTTTTGAGACAGAGTCTTGCTCTGTCGCCCAGGCAGGAAGGAGTGCAGTGGTGTGATCTCAGCACACTGCAACCTCCACCTTCTGAGTTCAAGCAATTCTCCTGCCTCAGCCTCCCAAGTAACTGGGATTACAGGTACCCACCATGTCTAGCTTAATTTTTTTTTTTTTGTAGAGATGGGGTTTCATCATGTTGGCCAGGCTGATCTAAAACTCCTGACCTCAAGTGATCCACTGGCCTCAGCTCCCAAAGTTCTGGGATTACAGGTGTGAGCCACTGCGCCTGGCCTGAATATCTGAAATTTTTACACAATGAAAAGATTATGGACTTATATGCAGCTGGTTAGTTTCTTTGACTTTGTGTACCATGAAAAGAAGAAACAGCACGCCGGATGATTCTTCAGTGTGATGAAAAAATACATATTTATTACGGAAAATATAACAGAGGAGAAACAACATCTATAATTTCACTCACAGAATCAAAGGAGTAGACCTGAGATTTTTCTTCAATTATTTCTGTACAGTAAAAATAGTGGAATCGTGGTGTTGTATACTTAATGGTGTCAGGCATCTTCCCGCGTTGGTAAACATTCTCTGTTAGTACTCCCGTTGTTACGGCCATGCATTGTGATTCACCTCAGATTCTCCCAGTGTTGAACGTTTTGGTTCGTTTCGGTGGTTTTATTATTTTTTTTTGAGACACCATCTTGCTCTGTTGCTCAGGCTAGAGTGCTGTGGCGTGATCTCGGCTCACTGCGGCCTCGACCTCCCAGGTTCAAGCAATCTTCCCACCTCAGCCTCCCAAGGACCTGGGACTACAGATGTATGCCACCATTCTTGGCTAATTTTTGTATTTTTTTTGTAGAGGTGGGATTTCACTGTGTTGCCCAGGCAGGCTGGTCTTGAACTCCTGAGCATAGGTGATCATCTGCCCGCCTCAGCCTCCCAAAGCGCTGGGATTACAGGCATGAGCCACTGCACACAATCTCCCTTAGTATCATGATAAACCCTGAAATGAATTCTTTTGTATTTAAATCTTTCTGTGCATTTCGGACTGTTTCCTTAAGCTAGAAATTAGCTTTTGAAAGGTCTTAAAGGTGCAATAAAACTTGGTAGCAAGGTTGTACGGGGTTAAGAGTTCAAGACTGCTGGTTTGATGGAATGTGGTCTGTGCCTGTATTTCCTGGGATCTCCATGTTTAGGGGATTGTGCAGCCCCTCAGCCTAAGACTTGGGGTCTGCACTCTTGTGTCGTGGTTTATGCTGATCAAGGCCTGCGAGTCTAAGTCTAAAACCTGGTCCTTGTGTGTTTTAAAAATGTCACAGGGGCAGATGCCATTGCCACAGGTCACTATGCAAGAACGTCACAGGAAGATGAAGAAGTCTTTCAGCAGAAGCACATTAAGAGGCCAGAAGGGCTTTTCAGAAATCGGTTTGAAGTTAGAAATGGTAAGTTAAAGTGCCCAGGTCAGAGCTGAATTCTCTTTGGACAGAGTGAACGGTTTTGAAGAATGACAGTGGGTTGTGTCTGAAGATCGCTGCCCACCCCCCCCGTCCCTCCCCCTCCAGAGTAGCTTGTTTTGGATTCACATTTGAAAAGGTACAGTTACCAAGAGGGTCATTTCCCTGAGGGCCTGTGATTGTGCAGTAAGAGATATCCCAGCCGGCCAGGGTGAGGGCTGGGGAAAATTATATCAGATATTGATAATCTAGCTCTAGACATTGTGTTAATGATTCAAGTGTTCCAGAAATATCTGGGTAAATAGTTGACAGTGATAATTGGGGTGCCATCAGTCTGCCAATGCCTTGTATGTAGCGTCAGGTGCTCAAGGGCCTGCGGTTCAGGCTGACTTTTAATGTGCTGTGTGCTGGGGATCTGTGGATCCCATAGGGTCAGCAGTCAGGCTTTGTAGCCGTGTTCACACATGAGTTTATACGTGTTAGGGAGCCAAGTTTCACCTTTCTAGAAAAAAGTCAACGCCATACAGTGAGCTGGGAAGCTGCTGGCTTGTCCTGGCATACATTTGTGTGTAGAAAAGAGGAATTCCCCACATTGTTGAGTGAAAGTGCAAGTGGAGCTCAGAGCCGTGTCAGGGAGCATCCATCATTGTAGCCTCTCTGGAGGGCAGCGTTTCTCCTTGGTCCAGAAATTCAGATGTTAGAGGGAACCTTGTCCCCACCATCTGGGGAATAGGGGTCTCTGGGGCTGGGGCAGGGCTTTACATGCACACATTTTTTTTTTTTTTTTTCCAGAGGCAGGGTTTCCACTCTCGACCAGGCTGGAGTAGAGAGGCCCGATCTCCTCTCACTGCAGCCTCTGCCTCCTGGGCTCAAGTGATCCTCCCATCTCAGCCCCACTGAGTAGCTGGGACCACAGGCATGCGCCACCACGCCCGGCTTTTTCATTGTTTGTGTGTAGACGTGAGGTCTTGCTACGATGTCCGTGCTGGTCTTGAACTCCTGGGTTCAAGAGATTCTCCCACCTCAGCCTCTGAAAGTGCTGGGATTACAGGTGTGAGCCACCATTGCACGTTGCTCTTCTTGGCAGTCCATGAGGTGTGTGCTCTCATCCTGTTTCACGTGTGAGGAAGCCAAGGCCTGGATGAAGCTGTCTGACCTGGGCACCTCGGGTGGCAGAGCTGGATTTCAGCACACTTCTGCTCACCCGTAGTCCCTGCTGTTCCTCCTGTGCCAGGCCCCCGCTGAGTCCTCCTCAGCATTGCTGAGCCCATCCTGGAGGCTGCTGCGATGGCGCAGGGCTCTGCGTGGTCAGGGATGCCCTGAGCGTGCCAGCAGTCGTCCGCCGCCCTCTGCTCTCTCTCTCCTACTTTCCTCATGGCAGAGGGTGATCAGGTAACTTCACTGACTTGAGCCCACAGAAGAGCAGCCCACTCCCCTAAGACAGCCCCGCATTTCAGGAAGACATGGGTTTGAATGCAGAGTCCTGCCACTTGGGAACTCCGGGGTAGAATTAAAGTAATTATGCACGTACAGGGCCTGAGGAGATGGAGGGTTTATTTCCGTGTTGAATAGATGCGCCTGCCTACCTCCTAGAACATGGTGCCCTGCAGAACCGTGGGCCTTTATTATAGGCCACGTGTTCTGGAAACGTCCGACAGTACTGGTGGATGCGTTTTGTTGAGTAAGTTTGATGTGTGGGAGTTCTGACGGTGTCTTCGCTGTCACTGTGTTTTGTAGCCACACTCAAGGTTTCTATTCCATTCTTTAGTTACTGTGGCCTGGCCTGGGACTTTAGGGAGAGCACCCGCAGGGGCAGTGGAGGGCCTGGGCTCAGGGTGGGTCAACACGTGACACCGGCGCTCCTAGGTCTGGCCTGTGGCTGGGCGGCTTTTCCCATGCACGGTGTGCTCCCAGCAGCCTGGCAGAGCGGCACGGGAGACGGCGTGTCAGTGGGACCCCAGCACAGGCAGCCTCGTCCGAGCATCCGTTCCTGTCTGTGCTTTTCCTCCACAGTAGTTCAGTTAGGGTCGCCAGCTTGCTTTTTTGAAAATCATCGATGTTTAGTTTGTTTTAAAATGACTCAGAACTAGGAGAAAATGCAAATGGCTCCTAGTTTTCTGAGGTTTGATTGCCGTTAGATTGGGGTTGAAAGTGGATTCTGAGGCTGGATGTGGTGGCTCATGCCTGTAATCCCAGCATTTTGGGAGGCCGAGGCAGACAGATGATGAGGTCAGGAGTTCCAGACCAGCCTGGCCAACATGGTGAAACCCCATCTCTACTAAAAATATAAAAATAATAAATTAGCAGGGTGTGGTGGCGTGTGCCCGTAGTCCCAGTCCCGGCTACTGCAGACAGGAGAATCACTTGAACCCAGGAGGCAGAGGTTGCAGTGAGCTGAGATTGCGCCATTGCACTCCAGCCTGGGTGACAGTGAGATTCCATCTCAAAAAAATAGAACAAACAAAAACTAGTGGACTCTGGGAAGTGCCCTGCTTCTGTGGTGACTGGATGGCCGAACTTGGTCTCACTTCTCACTCAGTTCTGTTGTCTATACCTGACAGGAGAGTGGGACTCGGGAGGCTGGGCAGTCTCAGCTCCGCCACCTGCACCTGCGTCGCTGTGGGCGAGTCGTGTAATGACTAGGCAGGCTTCAGTTTCCCTCTGTAACGTGGGGATAATTTTTCGTCTCACGGCTGACGTGGGAATCAGACGGAGAACACTAGCTACACAGAGCGTGTGCTGCACGCGCGGCTGTGCCAAGCCAGGAAGGGCACATGGGCTGCTTGTGGCGCTCTCTGAGTGTAATTCATGAGGAGTTGTTGATGAGAAAGGTTGACAGAAGCCATAAAACTGACATTCATCTTAAGTGTGTCACCACTGATCACTGAACCTGAGAGTGGAGAACTGGACAGTTCTAAGCCAGGCTTACTCACGCCTCTGCTTTGTTGCCTTAAAGCCAAAAATGGTTCTTTACAATCACATAGGGAATGTCGAAGGAACCGCAGGGGCCCCTAACAGATATCGGCTGAGACTCTTAAAAAAAAATGTCTTTACCAAGAAAGCTAATGCGTTCACAGGTGGAGCGCTGCTGGAGGCTGTGCTGCCCGCGCGGCCGTGAACCTGGGAAAGTGTAGAGTCCTTGAACCTACCGTGGCGCGGGCATGTCTGCGGTTGCTGGAAGAAAGCGCAGCTGACACTACGTCAGGGCAGTTTTCTGCAGGCCGCCAGCTTACTTAATTTTCCAAGATTGGGCTGAATTTATTTTAGGGTTTTTTTTTTTTTTTTTTTTTTAATCACTTCAGAACATTTTTTTCATGTGATGTTTCGTCTAATAAGTGTGAGCTGGAATACTTTGTCATATAAAATCCTTTGTCTCTTTGGAGCGCGAGTGTTTCTCACATTTACCCCAGTGGTGGTCCTTTCCCTAGCAGTTGCTATTGAGTGTTGATTTCTGCTTCTGACAGGCTAGGGCTAGTCTGGCTAAGTGAACAGAAGGACACTGTTGAAAGTGAAGTATCATTATTTTTATTCCTGCAACATCTTTTGTTCTTTATTCTTGGCAGCGGTAAAACTCCTCCAGGCAGCTGACAGCTTTAAAGACCAGACCTTCTTTCTCAGCCAGGTTTCCCAGGATGCCCTGAGGAGAACCATCTTCCCTCTGGGGGGATTAACAAAAGATTTTGTAAAGAAAATCGCTGCTGAGAATAGACTTCATCACGTGCTTCAGAAGAAAGAGGTACGAGTGAGCCATTCCCTTTCATTAGTGCCCGTGTTCCTTTCCCGACTGCACGGTCTGGGGAGCAGCTGGGGCCTGGGAATCCCACGCCACTTCCCCTTCTCCAGGACCTTGGAGAAATAGGAGGAGTTTGCTCAGGTGCACGGTACCAGGCTCTGCTGACATCTGGGAGCATCCTAAACGAGGCTCCTTGCTCTTTTCCTCTCCTCTGCCCCTATGTGGTAGGCAGCTTTCCCTGCAGCCTTAGCAGCCAGTGGGCTGCTCCTGGGATGGCCTGCCTGCCAGGTGAGTGCCAGGCAGTGTGATGGAGAGACCCCTGTAGCGGCAGGTGCTGCGCCACCATCTGCACACTGATGTGCTTGCTCGTTCGGCATAGACTCGTTTGGTGCCATCTGTTCCAGGCACTGTGCTGCTGGGCTGCGAGGACACGGTGACGCGCACACAGTTCCATCTTTGCCTCCACGGAGCTCACCTGCGAGCCGGGGGCACGGACAGGAGGCCAAGCGCTGTAAACCTAGAAAGCGTCTATGGAGGGAGGTGTAGGGCCCTGGGAGGGAAGCACCTCCGTGGCGTCTGAAAGTAGGGAATGGAGATGACAGGGCCTCAGGAAGTCACACGGAACCTGAGCCCTGAAGGATGAGAGGATTCGGGGTCCCAGAGAGGGCTGGGGAAGGGCAGTGCAAAGGCCTTGAGGAGAAGCCGGGGAGCCGGCCTGGGGGTGCCTGCCCCTGGCCCCAGGTGCTTGGGATGATCGAGTGCACCCAGGAGTTTGAGGACCGCCCGGGCAGCATAGCAAAACCTGACTCAAGGAGAGAGCGCCCGGGGCGTTGGCAGAACAGGGTGGAGGGCGTGGGGTGGGAGCCGTCTCCTTCGTGTCTCTTCCTGGTAATGGAAATGGCCGTACTGTTCTACAGCAAGCTCTCTTCCCTGAAGAGCACGCCGCCCCCATCCTCTCCTCTGGTCTTCCATTTCCAGTGTCACTCTGGTGGGAGCTGTAGTCTAGAGACACACAAACCAGAGAGTAAGCGATGCAGCCTCTGACGGGGCCGGAGCGGGGAGCGCACAGCCCAGGCTCCCCAGCCAGGACAGCTGTAGTTGAGGAAGGTGCCTCTCTCCTCTGACTTCTCTGGAGTCCTCCCCTGAGGCCTGGGCGTCAGGCCTGGCTTTCCTGCTTCCTGCCCTTGCTCTGCTTCTCACAGGACAGTGGCCTGAAGGGGCTGACTGGGTTCGCTTTCTTCCCCAGGGCAGCTGGGTGAGGTTTTGCCGAATAGGGTCGGCCCTGGCCTTGTGTGTGCTGGCTGTGACTGGGGTCCGAGGGTGCTGGTGGGCCCCTACTCTGGAAGCAAATTGTGGGGTGAGGCCGGGAGGCCGTGGGGCCTGCTCAGGGTGTCTGGGTGCAGTGCGGGCCGCCCCCACCTCTGCCCCTCTCACAGCTGCCGCCTTCTCATTTCAGAGCATGGGCATGTGTTTCATCGGGAAGAGAAATTTTGAACATTTCCTTCTTCAGGTGAGTGGTGGTCTTTGACACAAAGAGATGGGGCCGTGTGTCTGCTCTGGGCCCGGATCTCCATCAGTAATGAAATGTTTGTTTTTTAGTATTTGCAGCCTCGACCTGGTCAGTTTATTTCCATAGAAGACCATAAGGTTCTGGGAACACATAAAGGTGAGGTGCATGCCTTGAGTTGTGGGGTTTCAGCTCTGGGAGACGTAGCCAAGGGTGCCTGTCATCCCTTCCACTCGGCCGGTGGATCATAGAAGGCTCTGTGGGGTGGCGTGGGGTGGAACAGTCGCCTTGATGAGGACTATGTACATTTCAAGATATGGCTGCAGCTGAAATGCTGGAGTTCATGACAGGCACGCCTCTGATTTGGAAGGGCTGTCCTGTGAGTTATGTATCAAGTCCCTGTAAAAAGAATGATTTCCTCACTGTGTAAGGAAAATGTTAAACTACACAGAACTCCATGCTGCTGCGGGGAGTAAGATGGATATCAGGGCAGGACTTGAATCATGAAGGACCCATGCGGTGATGAGGCCAGGTGTCCCGCTTCTCCCGCGCATGCTCTTACTGCGGTGAGGCCTACGTGAGCCTGTGTTGTGCCTGGTGTGGGGGACAGGCTCTGAGTTAGTCACCAGCCAGCATTGGGTTAGTACAGTGGTGGGGATGTGCCTTCTGCTGTGATGATCAGGCAAGTCTTGACCTAGTGTGGGACTGGCCTGGAGAGCCGGGCTGCTGCTTAGGGGTGGCGTGTCTCACGGTGAATTGGAGATCCTGAGGAGCACGGGGCTCCTGAGAGCCGGGGCTGGGCATTCCTGAGCCCGGCCTGCCCATGTAGCTGCCAGCGCTGGCCCCAGTGGGAGCCAGTTAGATGACTCGTGGTTTTCACCTGCAGTTCAGTTCACTGCAGGAGGCTG